CCGCCGGTGGCTCCGCCCCCGTCGGCTCCCCCCTCGTCGGCCGCCGCCGTGAGGCCGCTGAGGCCTCAGGTGCGGGAGGCGGCCTCCCCGCAGGGCCGTACCGCAGAGCGGGAAGCGGCAGCGCCGGGTGGCAGGCCCCGCTGCCGAGCAGCGCTCGGTGCTGGAGCTTCCTGGCCCCGGGGTCTGCGGTGGTGGGGCTGGGGCTGGGGCTGGCGGGGGCGAGCAGAGCGAGGCGAAACCTTTTGTCCCGCCGCGCTGAAAGTGAGAAGAATTCTTTTTTTAAATCGGCTGATGCCGTTGTCTACACTCGGGGTTCCCGTCTTTGCCTCTGCTTAGAAAGGGAGGTAATTCAGTAATAAAAACAAACCAAAACTTTTAAATTCTTCTTCGGGGACACTTTAATTGAACATACTCTTGTCTTCATGTGATGCCATGAATTCAAGCAGGTTATCCTTAATGATTCTTTTCTGCACTAATGAAAGTTTGACATTGAACCACTGTGAGAGGGTTTTGTTTCACGTGATGTTTTGGCAAAGCTACAAAACGAGACCTGCCCAAATCCCACAAATACATGCCGAGCATAAGCACTGCATACAATAGTCACAATACTGATGTTTAAAATTTAGCGCTTGTATAATGGTTTGTAAATTTAGTAGCGTTTTTAATATTAAGTGTATTAGAATTTATTGCAGTTACTAGAATCAGCTTTTCAATGTCCTTCTAGGAGGAAGGAACAAGAGTTCTGTTTTATGGCTGCTCCAGGAAAGGTGGCAGCTTTCCGTCTGCCTCCCCTGCCAACTGTTGGAGACATCATTAAACTCTTCCGCCTTAAAGCACAGAAACAACTTTCCCAGAACTTTCTACTGGATTTGCGATTGACAGGTTAAATATTTTATTCTAATATTTTTAGCTACTATAAAACATGTGTCCTGGTTTTCTTCAGAATCCAGGTTCTAGCTAACGAGATGGTTTGCATGATGACATCTGTCAAACTAATGGCAGCTCAATGGTAAACCTGTAAAGACTTCTTTTAAAAGTAGTTTTAGCTTAGACATTGATTTTACTTGTAAATTCCTAGAAAATGTGTGTGCTTATAAATTACAGAGTAATTTTTAGGTAGAAACTATATTCCTGTATGAAATACGGGTTACTGATTGAAATGCAAAAATCCAAGCCTTAGTAGTACTTTTACCATTCAGGTACTGTTATAGTTTATAAGTTTGATTCAAAAATGAGTATTTTTTTTTGGATTATTACATATTGTAGAAAGTACTGTAACTCATTGTGCAGTTTAAGTCACTATATACTGTGGTTAGGAAGGTCATGTGTCTCAGTTTATCAGAAATGTTGTAGCTTTTTTGAACCAGTTACATTGTTCTGAACAATTTGGTTTTCTCCAGCTTCATGTCAGTAATGGGTGACAAAGCTGACACTGTTCAATCAGTGGTGAGTTTCTTTACTGTCCTAATGGTTTTGCAGTAATAAATGCAGTGCAGTTTCAAGTAGCTGATGATTCGATTACATTTGAAGATTCAGGTTGATAAAGATTTAGAATATGAATGTGAAACTTGGTTCCACTTCCTGAACAACTGGACTCTTACCCTGGAATAAAAATGTCTGCATGCATTTAGTAAAACCTTATAAGTAGACAAGCATTCAGATATTTCTTATTTTCATTGCATACTTAAGTTATACAATGAGCAGCATAATTTCTCTTAGCATCTTCTCTCCATGTTTCCTAAGGATTCCTTTGTTTCATTAGCGACATTTATAATCCTTACTTTAATCCTTAATCTGTTTTCTTGCCTGGCTGTAATACCTTCCAGTGCTGTATCATTCCACTTACATACAGGTATTTTTTCCTCACCTTTCCACTGCCCCACTTTTCTATAACTACCAGTTGCCTGTATTTTTACTTCTTACTGCTCTTACTTTACTCCAGCTCCTCCCTCATAAAATTACTCTGTACGTACTGTAATCTTGGTAGAGCTTCACTGTTTCTTCTTTACTACTTAAATTTCCTTGAAACAGAGGTACCGTAGTGAAATACTTTTATAAGGATAAGTAGTGAGACTTTAGGATGTTGAACACAAGTGCTTACTTGCAGGAGAATGGTACTGCTAGTTTACAGATGAGAGGTAATATTCTCTTTTTATTTGATTCTGTAACGAGCAACAATGTATATTAAAAACATTAAACTGAAAACAGTCTTTTTTAAATAGTTGAGCGTATCTTGTAGTGTGAAACAGATCTGAATTCTGTACAGTCTAGCAGGCTTAACTGGGATGTGTCACTGTTTGTGTCTGTTCCGAGATAAGCACACTTGTGCTTTAACAATAAACAATGAGTTTATCTTGGTGAGCTGGATCTTCTGGAGAATAATAAGGGCTTTGTGTTTTGCAGACAAGATAGTGAGACAAGCTGGCGAGCTGAAAAATGCCCATGTTTGCGAAGTGGGCCCTGGGCCAGGAGGAATTACCAGATCCATTCTCAGTGCTGGTGTTGAACAACTCCTTTTAATTGAAAAAGATGCTCGATTTATTCCAGGATTGCAGGTACCAACTGGAGCATAATTTTTATAAATGTATCCACAACATTGAATAAGAACATAGAAAGGTTCCAAGTGTCTTGTTGAGATCTCAGCATTGAAAATAGATTTGCTGCTTTGGCTTAAATCGGAGCTATCGTTTGCTTGAAGATGAAAATACACAGCATAGCAATTAATTGCTCCTCCTTTCTCATAGGCCCTTCAGGACCTGATTCTGCAACTGAATTAATGCTGAGGCCTGTCTGTTTGTTTCAGGTTGAGACGTTTAGGGTGCATTTCACCATGCAGGTGAAATAGTAGTCTGAAGGCTGAATGTAATGTCCTTTGGTCTTATTTTTCATTTTAATCCTAATAATTATGCTTTAAAGTTTATAAAATTGTGAAAGCATATCTCCAGTTAATACAATTCAATGTGGATTAACATCCAGATAAGGAAGAATAAAGCAAGCGTTTATTTTACATTTAAAAAAACCCACTCTTAAACTTCCTTTGGTTTAAAGTCAGTATGAGTTCAGAAGTCATTGTGGCATTTTTCAAATGCCATCTACTTGTGTTGCTATTTAAGTTTCCATGTTTATGGAATTTGGCTGTGTAAATCTATCAAGAAAAACAGAGTCCAAAATCTCTTCGGATTTGACTGTTTTCTTGTGCCTCTACAATCTCAGATTATAGCAATTCAAAGGGCTTTACTTATATTGCGCTGTGTCTTCTGTAGTAAATCAGCAGTGAAGATAAATAGGTAGTTCACTTGAGAAGTGCTACCATCTCTTTGTAGGACAAAACCAATGTAAGATATGAATGAAACTGCTCATATCCTTAAACCTGAATATGCATGTAACTATGTCTTTGTAGGGTTAGCCATTGATAATTTACAGTATGCCATCTTTACCTTACAAAGTATGAAACCTTCCTGTTTTCACTTTTCTTGAGTGGGTGCAAATCTGCATTTTTCTTTTAGGTTTTAAGAACTGGTTTGGGATTGGAGAGAATTTGAGATTAAATGATACTTGCTTTAGCTAACAGAGTTTTTTAAGTACTTAGACAATTTTTCTGATCTTTCCAAATGCAGCCACTACAACAGATTTCTCTGAATAAAAGTATACTTTTCAGGGTCTATAATGAGCTTGTGGTATGTAATTATCTTTACTATTCAAGTGAATTAATGTTAGTCATTATTTTTAATTAGCAACCTTCTCACAGTAGAAATAAATATGTCTGAATGAGGTTATTGAATATAAAGATGCTATAACTCGGTAATAGTGGATGTGAATGAACAAGAAATATGTTGCATCCATTAGTGTTAAATTTGGTGTTGTTTTTTTCCTTCCAAATAAGGTGATACATAACAGAATGAATCTTTCTTTTGTGATAATGTGGGTTGTAATACCTATTTTTTTTCTGGTTTCCCATTAAAAGCTCTATCAAAACCAAGTGCTTATAAAAAGGTTGAGATTTGAATAACAGAAAATGTCAGAGATTAAAATACCAATTGGGGACTATTACTTTAAAATGTCTGTTCAGATACTTATAAAATCACTGATGTAAAGCATACAGTGTTTTTCATTAACTTTTTCAGGCTGTGGTCTTTATCACAAAACTGAAGTTGGGATCCTCTTTACTGCAAAACTGAACTATAGTGAAGAACATGTGTAAACGTTTACTCTGTACACATAAACTGAGAGTCTGTCAGTTCTGTCTCGCTCTTAAAGAATCACAACCACCATATGCCCTAATAGTTGCTAGGCTGGAAAGATTTATGAGGAAAGAAAGGGTGCTCTCAGCCAGAGAGTGGATTGAGTATAGAATTCTTCCAGGAACACAATTTCATTTTTTAAACTATGCCCTTTACGTTTTCTTCGTGCCCTTTTGGTTGTGTGTGAAGAACGAGAGGATCTGTATGGTGGAGAATCATTTGGCTCGTGTGCTTGGTGCACAAGAACTCCTGGAATTGTGTTAGCTGCACACATTGGCCTTAAAATGGAGAAAGTTTCAGTGGATTTCTGAGTCTTTATTTCAAATCAGAAATATACAACTGTGATTTTCTGCTCACAAATTAAATGCAGTCCTCATTTATGTGAAGTGTGATACTCAAAAACCCCCAGATTCCTCTTGACATGAAAACCATTATTAAAAAACAATATATCATATGTTAATCCATTCTTGTGTAGGCAGCTGACTGCTTCCTCTGATGCTATTTTCTAACTTTATTGATCTTATGTTTCATCCTGTTATAGCATTTAATAACAGCTTCAAAGAAAGATTTGACAAATCATGGCAGATTAGTGAATTTGTATGCCCTATAATTGCTAGTGTAATGCTGAAAAATCTGTTAAGTGGTTTGGAGTTGAGGTTAGATTTATTTTTTCTATTTGGAAATAATTGCATTTAAAACATGTAGGAACACTTAGGTTTTAGTTAAGCTTTTTTTAGTACTCTACACAAAATTTAGCTTTTTTCATGGTAAAAAAAACTTTTACTCAAAAAAATTTTGTGAACAGTATGAGAAAGCAGTGCTTTCCTTTGACTTAGAGACCTGCGAAAGCTGTTTGTGCCCCTGAGCATATAAATACGATTCAGATTGAAGATGGAACTAACAATGGTGAGCAGTTTATTTCAGCAGTTAAGCCACTGGCACTTAACTGTTTATGAATTAGGATTTCTGTGCAAAAGCAAAATTGTTCTTTAAGCCATTTTTCATTGTTCTAACTTGGGAACAATAAATATTCCCAGATGTCATCTTTGTAGAAGTTGACTTAGCTTTTGAATTGTGCTGTTTGTGCATAGTTTCATACTGTAAGAGAAAAGATTGGTACAACACTAAAAAACTTAAGTAACTTTGATTGTGTAAACTGACACCAGAAATGAAAGAATTGGTCATCAAACCACAGCCGGTTCTGAGTTTACATTTCAGCCTTTATTAAATACTAGATGACCTGCAGAAGTGGGATAAAGAAGTTGACAACAGAGTGGATTTTGTAATGTCTAAAAAGATGCAAATTTTTGAGATTTTTCTCTACTGCTAGGTACTCATTCCCTCATTTTTGGGAACTGCTTGGTTTTTCATGGTGTGAGTTCAGACTACTACAGGGAGTATTAAGAGAATCTTTTCCCCCTTTTTTATGTAAAAGAAAAAAATGACTAAATATTTCTGCAGCCTTGTATCACATATGGCTAAAATTGGATAATAGACCCTACAGCTGCAAGGGGGACAAACAACAGGAGCCTTGTTTCCATAGGTAATGGATCTAAAAACTTTTCAAAACCTGCTGCTTGCATTATTACTTAAATCAGGTGGGGTCCTGTTAGTGTTAATTGTCCTTGTTGACGAGACTCTTAGTCTTTTCAAGTTTAAATTCCCTATTAAGAATTCCACAGCTGTGAATAATAAGCATTTACAGAATCACACATTAAACTTTTTTTGGTAGTGTTTGCTTTTTGAAAGTAAATACTTAGTAATAGTGTGCTCAGTTTTAACTGCTATTGTGCTTTTTTATGTATTGAAGATAAATATGTAGCAATGGTTTCATTCCTGCTGTGGCTGAAACTGGCAATCAGTTTGGTTAATACTCACTGTGAATTCTGCTTGCTTGCTTACAAACAGATGTTATCTGAAGCAGCTCCAGGAAAAGTGCGTATTGTTCATGGCGATATCCTGACATATAAGATGGAGAAGGTTTTTCCAAAGCACTTAAAAAAGAACTGGGAAGATGGTTAGTATTTTGATTTGGTTTATTTCATTTTTAAGGCTTCTGAGTCAGTCTTAAGTGTGGTGATACAGTTGGAGTTCACTCAGTGCAGGTGTTAATCAATTCTGATACTTTTTGAAGGTAAGAAGAGAGAGGCGAGCTAACTTTCTTCCTTTCTAGAAGGAAACAGAGAATCATCTTCTAAGACAAATCAGCGGAATTTGCATGACATTCACCTTAGTCAACAGTGAGGAGCTTTGCAGTTATTAACCTTAAGAGTGTCTTGACTGTACAATAATGACTCTAGGAAAGTATAAAAGCAAATCAAATGTTATACTTTCTTCCCAGCTTCTTCCTCTTTTTGAAGAAGCCAGAAGCCACCACTGCTATTATTCCACTGAAGAAATTTCTGTAACTTGCTTTGAAACTTTTAGGAAATTTGTCCTCAAAAACTGAGTTTTCTCATTGCTTTGGTTTCAGGTAGATATCTTTGGCAAGAGTAGAATCTAATCAGAGATTTGGTGGTTTGTTGTTTTGGGGTTTGTTTTTGTGGTGGGTTTGTTTTTTTTTTCAAATCTGAGGTTCTCACAGGACTCAATTTCATCTCCCTGTTAAAACATGTAATATTAGATAAATCAGAGATGACCTCCCAGTCCCCTTTTCCACATTGCTTAATTTAAGGTAGAGTCACTGTCTGCAGTGCCTGAAGAACAGTTAAACTGCTTTCTGACTTAGGACATAAAAGACCATGCCGCATTATGTTCACCTTGAAAAATTCTATGCTGTATTTGCCTCATTGCAAAAGGTAATTGCTTCATGAAACAGAACTATGAGCAAATACATGTGTGAAGGTGTAGTGCAGCTTTTAAAAATTTACCTTTCTTGAATGTACATATAAGTCATTGTTGTCTTTGGAGCTAACTGATTAAAGGTAAGATACAGTTTTTCTGTATTATTGTCATATGAAAATCTGAAAAGCTGGTGGGTATCAGAAAGATACTTAGCCATCTCTGAGGTATGTGTAATATCACAAATATACTAGAAATACCACAGCCTAAAAAGTGCATAAGTAAAGTGTGCCAGAAAACCAGCTTGAATTTGATATTCTCATCTCTTATTCATGTTACTAAATGCTGTAATATCTAAGAAACAACATACTTGCTTTTCTTTTGTCTGCTTCTATTGCACTCCTGCTTAGACATAAGGATCCCTGGTAATGAAATGCCTGCTTTGTGTTGTAGAACACATACATACTGATATGATCCATAGCTGAATAATACATATTGCTTCTTATGGGTAAGTCTTGTACTTGCTCTAAGACCTTTTGATTTCAGAGGACTCAACACAGAAGGAGAGCTCTGTACAGTTTGAGCTAGGTGATTGTTTGGGGAATTATGAAAACTCAGTAAAATGTCCTGGGAGGAATGTGTTGGACAGAAGGTTGAGTGCGGCTAGTTACTGTGTACCTAATAGTCATAGTTTAAAATCATGGAAACACTGTTGTAGTTTTGTTGTTGTTACAGTTTTGCTATTCTGGAGGAGCTCAGCTGAAATCTGGGGATCAGCTGAAAATCAGCTGAAAGCTACTGATTTTATTCAAATGTAAATGAGAACCAAACCTAACCACTTTTTTGCAACTAATTACTGAGAATAGTAACACAGTTTTGTCAGTGTAAGACAAGTATAAATGGAAAGGCATAATTTTGGCATGGCATGATAAAAATTGTTTTCATATTTTAAATCTAGGTTGATATGCACATCTCTTTCTCACTTATGTGTTCTTTCATGGCAAAATCTTATCCAAACCTTTTTAACAGTTGTTTTTCTTCCATCAAATGTTAACAGAGCCACCAAATATACATATCATTGGGAATCTGCCTTTCAGTGTTTCCACTCCTCTAATCATCAAATGGCTTGAAAATGTTTCCAAAAAGGATGGACCTTTTATTTATGGCAGGACACAGATGACATTGACTTTTCAGAAGGAAGTTGCAGAGGTAAGATGTCAGTGTTTTCCCAAAATTTTACAGATGCTCAATTGACAAAACTTTGTTTACGTGTAACCTTTTGTTTAAAAGTACAAAACCAATCTTAGTTGGCTTTAAAAAGAGAGGAAAGAGTTGGCTCAATTTTTAGGTTTTGTGGCTATAAATTATGAATTTTAATGTTGAGTTAATCATCTGCTTTGATCCTTTCACAGCACATAAATATTATTGTTTTAAAATTTCTTATGGAGGGATATATTTCCTTACGGTACTTATCTGACTTCAGAAGACAACAGATTATTTTTGACATGAATAGATTCCACAGCACTCTTCTGTTTTTAAATATCTTCTCTCACAGTCATTCATGCACCATTTCATCAGTTGGTTTTTCCTTGCGTTTCAGTCATCTCAAGACATATAGTTATTTCCTTGCCCTCTTAATTAAAAATAATTTTTAAAAAAGAAGACACCTTCCTTGAAATAAGGAAAAATGGAAGGTTAACATTATTTCCAGTTGTGATTAAACACAAAACGCGGAGTGTTTCTCAAGACCGTGGAAACTGACTGGCTTTTTTGCACGAGACTTGGTGTAAGAATTATTAATGGATTGCTGCCAGTCTTGTGTGTGTAAAAAGGCATCATTTGAGTTCTGTCACAGCAAGTCCAAGAGCAAATTGAGATTTTAAAGGCCAAACTGATCTGCTATGTAGTAGTGCTAGTTCTAGATCAGTTGATACTCTAGATCAGTTGATATTAGGTTGACTTACTCCACAGTGCTTTCAGACTTAACGGCTTATTTCTGTTGCCATTGCATGAAACAACATAGAGGTTGGAAGACTTTTTGGTTTGTATTTATGAAAGCAGTAGGGCTTCTTATCAGCATCTCAGTATGGCTCCTTACCAGCATCTCACTTCCTTTCAAAAAAAAAAAAAAAAAAAAGAATTGCACATCAGTCTGAAAACTGAATTTCCATCTAATTACTCCAGTGTTCGTAAATACCTGGTTTTCTGTGTGCAAAATAGATGTGTGTGTTTTAATTTTACTCTTTCAAAGTAAAAATTCTAATAGGAACATTTTGCTGTGGGTTTTTTGGTATGTAGATTAGCAATAATTATATACGCAAGTAGCATGTCTGCTGTTGTTTTTGGGGGTGATAGAAAAGCATATTGTGCTGTCATTACTCTAGCCCTGCAATCAAGATTCAAGACAAGTACTGAAGTATTTCCAGTAGGTGGCTCTAGAGAACACCAGGGACAAACATTTGGTATGAAATAAGCTAGATTTCTTAATTCAGTTCTGAGCTCATGTGGTTTCAGGCATTAAAAAAATCCAGATCTGTTTTCCAGAAGGACTTTGTGGATAAGAATTTTTACCTTGCCCCAAATGCCTCAGTGCTTCACCTCAAATCTGTCATCTGGGCTGGGTACTTCCTGGCCCACTTCCATTAAAATGAGTCATATTTCAGTTTAAATAGAACATCTTTGTCAGTCTCTGATTTTGAGTAAAACTAGGCAGAGTAGTTTGCCTGAACATCTCTGCCAACATGATCTGCAGGCTGGGAGGTGGGGTGCTAAACTGTTAGATATCTGGAAGACAGGCGTGTTAGAAGAGCAGAATACTTAATCATTTGGTATATAACACTGCTGTCTATTTAGAACACTAGGCAAAAGGTGCTAATAAAGTGGAAAATAATTCAGATTTTTGAGCAGCAAACAGAAGAAAAATTACCATTATGTTTTCATAACTGATATAGGATAAATATAAATACTTATGTTCTAAAAGAAAGTTGGTTTGCAGAAAGTGACTTGTGTACTAACATGTGTTTAATATTACTTTATATGGTCAGCTTTGCCAGTCTAATTGTTTGAGTAGGTTAATTCCTGTGACAGATTTTGCAGATTCAGTGATAATGGGGTTTTGATACATGTTAATGAAAACCACAATTGTATGGTATAGCTTACTGAAGAATAAACCAAATAGTTGTTCCTGAGGTGGTCATTGAGAGTGGTAAATAGTGAGGAGCATTAGAAGAGTTGTCAAGTACCACCTTGATTGTATTCCAGGTTAGGTTTCAGAATCTTTGTTTTGCTTCGTGCCTTGCTGAAATTGTTATAGCAGATGTAAAAATGTTACCTAGTTAGTTGAACTCCAGTGTGGTTTACTTAGTGCAGTTTCAGATGCTCTCTATATCTTTAAAGTAAGAACAAAGAAAATTTTGAGAACTGAGGGGAAAAAACCCTACAAAAATAGGTTAGGTGACAGAAGTATGGGGACAAACTTTCTAGCAGGGCCTGCTGCAATAGTGCAAGGGGTAATGGTTTTAAACTAAAAGAGGGCGGATTTAGACTAGATGTGAGGAAAAAAATTTTTACAACGAGGGTGATAAAACATGGGAACAGGTTGCTCAGAGGGGTGGTAGATGTCCCATCCCTGGAAACTTTCAAGGTCATGTTGGACGGGGCTCTGAGCAACCTGATCTAGTTGAAGGTGTTCCAGCTCATTGCATGGGGGGGTAGACTAGATGACATTTAAAGATCCCTTCCAACCCAAACTATTCTATGATTCTATTCTGGAGTATATTCTCAGCATTTTTGTGTTCCTTGAGCAGTGCTGTACACAGGTATGTTCCTGCTGATGTGTTTGAAATGGTTTAAGATGTTACTGCCCAGAGGTGGATGTTGTTAAGTTGTCCTTTCTGGAGCTGAGAAGCAGGAACTAATTGCCTGAGACTTGTTAGATTGTTTTTGTGGAAAGTAAAGACTGGCTTATTTGAATTGGCATTAGAAGGACTACAAGTGTTGTCATTAGGTCTGTTTCATTTCCACTGCAGAGGTTAAGGAAGTGCATATCTGATTGCATTGTTAGACTTTGCAACCTATTTTTTTTCAGAGAATAATAACAATGGTGGATAGATAATTTTTTTAATAGGTTTCCTCTGAAACAATAATGAAGGCAGTTTTAATGCTGATGTAGGCAAAAAGAATCACTGAGCTTTCTTTCTGAAATGTCGTTGAAAAGTATTTTATTTGCTCTATGCTGAGACTTAAACTGCCTTTCAGGAGAGTTGTTTAAAAAAAAAAACCAACTTTAGCAATAGGTTTAGTTTTATTTTTCACAGTTTGTTTTATTAAGCATGGCAGCATTTCATGAGTAGGGTTTTCATCTGAAGGTATGTGATGTACAGATATTAGCAGATATGCAGTTGGTTTTCATCTTTTATTTTTTATAAGGTAGTGGTAACTAAAACCAGGAATCTTCAAAATTCTACTTCTGCATAGTTAGTGTAATGCCTTTCACCATTTGACACTTGTTTTACTGGGTGCTTTTTTATGTTTAAATTTTGTTTGTGCTAGCAAAACACAGAGAACATGTTTCTTGCCAGGTCATTAAAGTGTAGAAAAACTCTGCCCAGGCTACTTTTTTGATAATCTTTGTAAGAAATTTCTTGGGAAAACCAGAGAATTACCAAACTGAGCTTTATGTATTAGATGCTCTTACTGTTAGGTATTCTAAATTTATGTAAAGTAGATCCAGCTTCCTTGCATGTATTGTAAGCGAAGACTAGTTAATAACAAAGAAATTTTGGTTTTATCTGACTTTGAGTTTTTGGAGCTTTGTTTCATCTTGAAGGGGAAAAATAGTAATATTTGATACAGAAACAGCGGAAGGAAAGGATGTGAGAATACTGTCAGCTGGTGTTATGTTTGTTTTGAATCCTGCAGTCAAAATAGTTTTAGTTTTCTTTTGTGCCCATACAAAATTCTTTTGACATTCATTAAGTTCTGCAGAAGTTCAAGGAGCTCCTTTTCATGTGCATTTGATTGCAGGACTGAGGTTGTAAATTAGCATGGCATCTTAGTGAAATGGTGCTACATTGGAGAAAAAAATTCTAGATGAACTAGGCATAAACTTTGATATGAGTTCTTAACAATTTATTTTTTTTTTAATTTCTTTGCCTTTGATTTTACTGAAAATCAAGCTTTAAAATAACTGACGACTTGGTCAATTCAGTTTCACTGATTTACATGTTTCGATTCTTCAATAGAGGCTTACAGCTAATCCAGGAGGTAAGCAACGTAGCAGACTGTCCATCATGTCTCAGCATCTCTGCACTGTTGAAAACTGTTTCATAATTCCAGGTCAAGCCTTTGTACCAAAGCCAGAGGTAAGTTTTGATGTATTTCTTTGGGTTTTTTGTTAATCTGTCAGTCAAGCAATATATCTGATTTTGAGTAAGGAACACAGTTGGGTGCTCTAGTTCAATATCTCCATACTATGAAGTGGAGTCATGTGATATTCCTGTAAATGAAGCATACTTCCTTCAAAGGGCGCTTTTCTTTTTGGTTCCTCAGAACTTGGCTTTGACCTTCAAGGCTATCTGCAAGATCAGAGTACTACTTTGGGTGTTTCTGGAGAAGGAGATTAGGATTTAATGACCGGATAGTCCACTAGGATTGTAGTGTCTTTGGAAAGCCTGCTGTTTTACAGTTTGCATTTATAAACAGTTTGGGAATTGTGCCTAGAAAATTTGATAGGTCTTTTGAAAGACCCTGATAAATAAAAGCCTTTCATTTGTCATCTTTGTCAAAGATATCTAATTTTACTGTGTCTATAATCTTTACGTTTCACCCTACTCAGCTTTAGCATATTTAACTCCCTCCTATTCGCTGTAGCACTTTGTCACCTACATCCCACTGCCTGTTTAAAAAAGTAACAATCTTTTCTCCCTCCTATCTGCTCTTGAGTGAGTAGAGGAGAACAGTCTCTTTGCTGTCCTCTTATCTACTGCCACTGGTTTTTATTAATAGCCATTATGATTACAGAAATCAAGAATTAGTAAATTAAACTGCATTTTGGACAAGATTTTTTTTGTTAAAATGTGTGCCTGACACTAAGTGGGGTCTGTTTCCTCTGAATTCACATGGAAGTCTAGTGTTCTGGTTCAGAAATGAACTTCCAGCATCTGAAAGATCCTCTTAAACTGGTTGGTTCGATTCATCAATACGTCTCCCTTCCCCCTTATCGCAGTCTCTCTCTGGGTCTTTTTACTCTTCAGGCTTATCTCCTAAGAACCTTTGGAAGGTCATTGTCTCTCTTTATCACAATGAATTTTAAGGCCTCTACCTGGGCATATTCTGATGATGATTTAAAATTCTGTTACTATTTTTTGAACAAGTAATTGTTCAAACATGTTAAATTATTAGTTGTGACAGCAGTCTGTTGTGAAGAAAAATAACCATGCTTAAGACATGTTATTTTTTGCTTTGCATTTTTGGGTTGGGGTTCTTCGGTGGTTTTTCTTCCTGTGTCCTAGCTGAATGAAAAATAATTTCAGGATGTCATTTTACTGTCAAATATGTGAAATAGTGTTCAGTAAGGCTAAAATTCCAGTTTTGTGGTGGTGGTTTCTCAATGGTGGATACAATTTGAGGCCATAGTAGAGCTAGTGTAGTCAAAAGTCTTGTGCAGATTGTGTCTCAGAATTGGGAAGCTATAACTGATATTCCCATTTTCCTGTACTGAAAAGGCCGTAGTTGACTGAGAGAGAGGTAACTCAGAGTTGTGACAAATGTCTTAGTACAAGCAAATCCTACAGTCTGTTGGTGCTCTCTTGAATAAAAAAGGCAGTCCTACTAAAGGCAAGCATATTTTTATTTAATATATTTCTTTGAGTTAAAACAAGTATTGCTTATATAGCAAAAGCAGAAAGTACAAATTTTTCAGACAGACCTGTTCTCACTATATTTTGTTTCCTTCAAACTCCTGTTGTAGATTGATCTTCTGTTTTGTCCTTGTTCTTTTAGCCATAGACTGACATGGTTTTAGATATTACTGTTTCTGACAGAATCTTCGTTTTCTTGGAAAGCTCTTGCAGCATATTGTGAATGAAGTGGCTAAGTGCTTCATTTCGTTTTCATAGGCATACAAGGAAATTCAGGTACTTCTGTATAAAGTTTTAGGAAGAAAAATTTGCTGCTTATGTAACCGATGAATACCTCATTTTGCTCATAATATGCAGTTACTATCTTTTTCTTATGCCCTCCTGTGAAAATGCCTTTGGTTCTTACTTTACAAATGTTAGTTTTAATTCACATACATAGCAATGATCACAGCTTAGTGTCATGTCAAACCACTTACTAAAGGTGGAGATGCATGTTTTTGGGAATGAGTTGTCTACTTTATTTGCCCAATGAATTAATATTATTTGAGATATAAAAGACTATTGGTTTATGGAATGGAATGGTGCTGCACAGCGTTGTGTCTAAGCAAAGAAAACTTGGCTTTTTGGTCATAGTTCAGTCTTTCCAATACCAAATAACTGCTGATACTAGCATTAGGAATTGTCCAAAACAAGCTTCTTAATGGATACATAGGAAACTCAAAATGGCTACGTAACAGTGGTAATACAAGCAAGATGTAATTCCGTTCTATGTATATTCGAATAAAGACTCTTTACATATTAGATGCATAAAACATTCCATTTTCTCAAATGCTGTAACAGAAGATCTTACTTTTTCCAACAAACTGTAGGTATAATGTTAAGGCCCCTTCATACTGTTTTAGTAAACTTCAGGTTAATAATATGGGAAATGAAAGTTGTATATAAATATGCAAAATAAAGAGCAGTTGGTTTTGTTGAAAGACTCATCCAGCATTATTGTATTCCTAAATTTAAAGGCCTGTATCATACTCCTTCTCCATTCCCTTACACATGCTAGCAAATTACCATCAATTTGATTCTCATTTAGGGAAGCGTTTAGATAGAACATACTCTGCCAATGACAATACAAAACAAAATCTGTGTGGTGAAAGAAAAGGTTAAAGGATCTAAGATTATTAATCAAAATAAGGGAGTTAAGAAAATAAATTTAGACAAAGAAGCTGTCTCTTCATCACCATTGTATATTACATTTTACAGTAATAGAATACATGGGAGCGGGCCTGAAACAGACCCGACAGGAATAATTACAAGGACTTACAAAGTTCTTTTAGAAGGCCAGAAATGTAGAAGACAATAAATGGTAGCTGTGTGATTTGAGCTGTTAAAAGCTACTTTGAAGAAGTGTAAGCCAGAAGGCTTCCAGATTTTTCTGGAACACAGATAATTTACTTTGTATCCTGTGTCTTACAGTTTGCAGGTGTTTTCATAGTCATGGTTACATTTCTGTTGTATCACTCGTCAAATCTAACATTCATTGTGTAATGATAGATTAGCAGCAATTGGTGAATGCTGAGTAGACATTTCTTTAACAATAATAAATGAAACCCACAGCAGGTGGCAGTTTGGGGCGGGAGAGCCATTTTTGGCAAGATCTGAATGGTACTGCTGATTCTTCAGCCTGATATGCAGAATATACAATGCAGCTAAGGTTTGGGTCTGGGAGTTTTTGTTGTGGTTTTTTGCTTTGTTTTGGTGTTTGTGTGTGTGTTTTTTGTTTTTTTGTTGGTTTTGGTGTGGGGGGTTTTTTTGTTTGTTTTTTTTTTTTAAGAAATCTAGTTACCAAGGCAATTTAGAACTGAAAATGGAAGGCAGATGTGTCTGCTATTTAAAAACCATTGAATTGGGCTTCTTGGACAAAGAGTGGTTGGGGTTTTTTCCCTGCATCATGACTAAAATAAAGATAAAAATGTAAAATACACTATAAAACATTATATGTTATTGATAGCCTGATTTGCTAAATAGAAGGCAGTTAGTTTTTAAGCATCTTTGCTGTAACAAGCCATCAGTACATTAATTATTCTGTCAGTTATGTTTTAAAATAGTTACTTTTTCTTCAATAAATGTTACTTGGAAAGTCAAAAAGAATGGTTTGAAAAATCAACACAAAAAAGTACTTTTGTAGCAGACTTAAGCATTGTTTCCTTCTTCATTCTTTTTGTGGATACCGCTATAAATGAAATACCTTGCTTAAACATAACTACAACCCAGATGCAAGAAAAGTGCTATATGTTATACATTCTTTGAAATAATCAAACTACACTTAGCACAAAAAAAGCTTCAACAGATAGAAGTAACTGTATTTTATACATAGTCCTTCAGGTTGTAACCTGCGTTGCTCTCCTGCTCCGTGGATGGAAAATGGTGCTGCTTTGGACGGTAAATCCATGCTCCTTGCTGCTTTTCAAAACAGGAAGTGCAGAAGATTACACCTGCAATAAGCAGAAACGCTGCTGAAATGAATCCTGTATAAACTGCTCCTCCTGGTTCATGTTTACTGCTCTCTGGAATGGTCTGGTCCAGAAAATTTGAAATAATTTCCCTCGTGTACCAGGATGTTGGTACTAATCCAAAGATTCCTGCAAGAATGAAGCAGACTCCTCCAGCAAAACAAGCATGACTCTTGCTGTCAGGGTCCCCTCCCAACTTTGTGCATTTCATTCCAACTGTAGTGATGCAGATCCCAAAGGCTGATAGGATACAAGACAGTACCATGGTGGTCCGTGCAGCCTGGATGTAGATGGGGAGAGAGAGAACGGAGTATTTCAGGGTACAGCTAAACATCCCAGTGCTGTACCATGTGCAGTCCATCCAAAGCCCTTGCATCTGGGTTATAGCTGTTATGATATTTGAACCAACATCTGCATTTACCTTCCAGTTGGGTAGCAAGGTGGCGGTGATATCTCCAAAAACACCAAACAAGGCCAGAATAAAAGCAAAGAACTGCAGACTTGCTGATGCCATGATGATATCTGCTGTCACCTTTTGTCTGCCTGTTTTTCTCTTGTAAATGAGTGTAACTGGTTGGTAGCTTCGTAGCCAAGGCTGTAGCCCTCTGTGTAATAGGGAGGAGGGGGGGGAGGAGAAGT